CTGTGCACCGGAAGCCCTCCTTCCAGGGAACCCCGAGGCCGGGAGTGAGTCGCCGGTCGAAAACCGGCGCTCCCCCCATATTAGTGTTAATTGTCATCAAAAAGTCAATGTTGTCTGCTGTGATTTCACCTTTTACATTTTCAATTTCATTGAAGTGGTTCATTTTTGCCACTTTGAGTAAGTTCTCCAAGCAGTTTGTATATTTTCCTGATTCTTTCAAAGAATTGGTCTTGAATCCAGTGATGCTTTATACTTTTGGTCTCCATTTCATTAATCTCTCTTCCAATCTTTATGACTTCCTTCCTTATGCTAGATTTGAGGTTGGACTGTTCTTATTGTTCTAGAATCCTGAGTGACATGAATATATTATCTATTTGAGCTCACTCTACTTCTGTAACATGAGCATTCACAGCAATAAACCTCCTTCTTAGGACTGTTTTCATTGTGTCCTGTAGGTTCTGGTATGTTGCACTCTCATTATTTCATCCAAAGAATAGCTTGTTTCTCCTTTAACTCTTTTCTCTGATCCAGAGAGCATTCATAAGTGTGTTATTTAATGTTCAGGTGTTTGTAAAATTTCCGGGGTTTCTTTTGCATTTGAGTTCTAGTGTCAGTGTGCCATGATCTGATAGTGTACATGGGTTTGAAGCATAAGTCTAGGCCATGGCAATGTGCATTGGGCATTGGGCACAACATGCCAATTGAAGACTTTTTAACAATAGGCACAGAGCAACAGCTCCCTGGACTGACGTGAGATCAAGCCGAGCCCTACACTGGTACCAATCTTCTCACACAAGAACACACCAAATGCGGTACCTCATATCAATCTTCTTGCACCAGATTAAGTGGAACCACCCAGATCAACTATCAAAAAAATATCAAAAGATGGCAGCAACTGGCTTTGTAGACACTGCCCTCTTGTTCTCTTAGGGGTCTATTCTGCTTGCACTTCATATCTTCTCTATTTTTTGAAAGCATCCTTTTCTCCTCCAGCACTGCTTTTGGGTATTTCTTTCCCCTTTTTCTATTTTTGCCCTATGTAGATGACCATCTATCACATTCACCAATTGTTCTCTCCAGTTCATTGAACAGGATGATGAGAACCTGGAGAGTACTGCTAGTCCCTGTTACACCCAATAATATATCTGGCAAAGCCTAACAGGAGGGCCAGGAGGTGAGGCCTTTGGGCACAAGTATGTCTCTGTCTCTGTCTGTCTCTCTGATCTGTCTCTGTCTTTCTCTGTGTCTCTCTGTTTCTCTCTTTGTGCCTCCTTCTTGAACCAATGGACTCAGGCTTAGAAGGACCAGTGTAAGGGCGGGTTTAGTTTTCTTTCTCTGTTTTCCCCAGGGAAGGCCCCAATCCTCTCTTAAGTCTTTTCTTATCCTTCCATTCCAAGACAGGCAGGAAGAAGCAGGTAGCTAGAGGATGGTAAGAAAGAACTAGTGGAGGTTGGGACACCTGGTCCTGCTTGTCACCATCACAGGAGAGACACTGGTGTGCACAGCAGAAAGCCGCTCACCTTCAATCTCAAGGCGTGCAGCTGTCCACACACCTTCAGCCTCAGTACCACAGGGCTGAACCATGTAAGGGGGCTCCTTCAAGTCCTGCCACAGTACACTTGTGGCAACAGCTGGAGAGACGAGTGAGTGAGCAGGAATGCTCACCCTGGGAGAAGGTTCATAAGGAAAGGAGATTGGGCAAAGGGTTCACAGTTGAGGCAGTCAGCCAGGACAGTGAAGGCTCAGTGTGTCACTATGGGGACCATCCTGACCCAATCTGTCATGTAACCAATATGATCCCTCCTGAGTAACCCTTACCTATTTTCCCTCCACAGTATACCATAGCTACACACAATCCTTACAGTGGCTGTGCGACTTTATGCTCAGATCGCAGCAATATCAGTGCAAGAATGTATCTTCTCAAGTTTTTGTTGTTTTGTTGAGGTAAAACAAGGTGTAGTCTGCCTTGGGTGAAGTTACTTCTGTCCTGACTATTGTGTCAGCACCTCTGTCTGCCCCAAGTAGTGAAATGCACTGGGCTTGCTGCTGCCCTTGGCCAAGACTCTGTCCCTACGTTCCCAATAATGAATAGACTCTGTAATCCTGCATCTTTTTCCTTGGCCTCATGGCAATTTATGCCTTGGGACATTGGTTAATTGAAATCCAATTTTTCCGAAACAATAAGAAATAGTTATTAAAGCAAAGTCTGTAGACATTAACACAGGATGGAGAGAGAGATCAGAGATACCTCCTGTCCCGCATAGCCTTCCCCAAAGGATAAGAACAGTGAGGTTCAGAGGCGCAGATTCTCTTCAGGTCTCACTGATTTTTTTTTCCCCACACCACCAGCGTCCCTGATTGGTTCTCAACTCTGCTGAGCTGCCCATGCGTGAAGAGCTCCACCAGCTCTACTGTCATCTCTCCCTATCGCCCACCACCATCAGCAGCACCATGATCACCACTATCACCCCCAACATCATCACCAATATCACAACCACCACCACCATCATCATCATGGTCATCATCAACATAATCATCATAAACTCACTGCCTGACAGAGATAAGCATTTATTGACACTGGAAAGAAAGAGATTCAGGTCATGAAGGGTAGACTGCTCTGTTGCTGGGTGTCAGATTGTGCAAAATGTGGGAAGTAGAGTGCTGTTTCTTCTCCCGTATCCAAACAGTTCTAACTGTGCCACTCCCAACTTCTGCTCTTGTGTTTGCCCAAAATTCCCACTGCTTCTTCCTGCAGCTGCTTCTATCCAGGTCACCAGAGAATCCTTATGACAAAAGGAACTCTCTCCTCCTATCTCCCACACTCTTTAGTCACTGCTTCTCCCTTATGTCAGACCCCAGGGCCCTGCCTTCTCTTTAATCCATTTCATCCACATTAACCCCTCCCTGCTTGGGCTCAGCCACAGAAATGCACAGTTCCTGAACACCCAGTTGCATAGACTTGATCTCACCCTCTTTTCCCCTCTGCAGCACTTCCTGCCTTTGTTCATGTGCTTGAAATGCACCTGGGCCCTGAGCTCTGCACTGCTTCAGGCCTCCATCACTTAGTCAGGTCCAACTGCAAATGCTCCTGGATCTGGATGAGCTCCTCCAGCTTCCTCTCCAGATCCTGAGCCTGCTGCCTCAGCTCCGCAGCTGATTCTGTCTTTGCCCCCTCATTCAAATGCAGTGAGTCTTGCACAAGGCTGTGCACATCCATCAGAAGGAAGACACCTGCAGTTACTGCATCCATGATTTGGGCACCTTTCAACATTGCTAGAACGGTGTCTCCAAGGGTTCTCTGCACCTGCTTCCCACTTCAGGCTGTGATTTTCCCAGTTCTCATGAAGCGGTTGGCACTGGCTAGTAACCAAGGGTTGGACTTTGCCACCTGAATGGCACGGAAGTTCTTCTCAATGCCTTGCAAGTCTTCCCCACACTTCTTGGATGCAGAAAAAACTTTGACCTTGGCCTTCCCCACAACCTGTAGAACCTCTTTCTCTGTGTCGATGCTGCTTGACAGCAGGCGTCTGGCTTCAGCTTGTGCTGACAACTTGTTTGAGTGGTCTACGATGCTCGCAGAAACACCAGTCACAGCAGCAGCTGCCCCCAGCCCCATTCCAGTGGCTGACAGCAACAGACTGCCACCTGCTGTCACAGGTGCCAGAGCCAGGCCAAGGATGGTGAGGATGCCAGAGACAGCACCGCTGGAGCTGGCCACCACGTTGGTGATGGTGCAGTCCTTGTGCACCTGGTCAACCTTCTCTGCAAGGGCGTAGAGCTTGGCTATGCCCTCCTCCAGCTCCTTTTTCACATGAGGAAATGCATTCAAGAACCCCTCCTTCACCTGAAGGTCTTCATCACTGTCTGCTTCAAGCTCAGTCAGAGCCTCACGCAGAGCATCTGCCTCCTCCCTGGAACAGTAAAGGTCAAGGGGTTAAGAAAAGCAGTTTGGGGGCTGGGAATATAGCTCAGTGGCACAAGTGCCTGCCTGGCAAGCACAAGGTCCTGAGTTCAATTCCCAGTACCAAAAAAAAAAGAGAGAGAAAAGGCAGTTTGTCTATTTGGAAAATGGGTTCTGTAAGGTCTATCTTGCATGCATGACAAAGGTTCATTATAACCAGCTGAAAAAGAATTACACAGATGCACAGAACTTTCCTCTCAGATAGAAACATGTTTTGGATATCATTATTTCATGATGGGGTCCATGACCGTACATCATTTTCCTATGCTCTTTAATGGTGAGTATGTGATAAAGCACCATCTCATGCAAGGTCAGCGCCGTGATGAGCATCGTATTTGTGCAGCAGGAACTCTTATATGAACACAGAGAATTGGAACAATAGTGGGGAGAGCCTTAGTTTAGAGAGTATTAATGCATAGTGAGGAGTAAACCTTTATCAAAAGGAAACCTGCACTTTGCATCAGCTACAAGGCTGTGATCTGTGGGTCCCTGGAATTCCTGAATGTTAGATGTGTCCATGTTTCCCAGGGAATACAGTGGCTGAGCATTCCTACTCCAAAAACATAAATCTGAAAAACACCAAAATCTGAAACCTTTTGAGCACAGACATGGACATAATGCCACAAGTAGAACGTTCCATGCCTGACCCAAGGGATGGGTCACCGTCAAAGCACAATCATGCTGAAAGATTGCATAAAATTACATGCATTCCACCCACACAAGGTGTAGAAAAACATAATTGAATTTCATGTTTTTTGGAGTCATATTTCCAAGCTATCTCTTAATGTATCAGCAAATGTTGCAAAATCAGAAAACATCTATCATGGAAAACACTCCTTATCCCAGGGATTTCCTATAATGGATGCTCATCCTTACTATGTGAAGGATCATAGGGGCTTTGGGATCATTTCTGGCATCCAGAGAGACTGCAGACTAAAAGGATTGACCTCCAGGAGCAGGTAAACTTCAGGTCAGCCCTGAAGTCTGGAAAAGAAGGCAGGACCAAAACATTGTTAGGATCTTCTGACCCTCTTTTCCAGTGGGCTTTGACCTGGGCTTTCCAGTGCATCCAGCACTTGCTCAGCCATGCATCAGGGTGATGTTTCCCTCACAGGCTGAGCCTTGCAGCCCAGCATCCCCTTGTGAATGTCGTGCATCACACGTGGGAGCGCACCGTGTCCTCGGAAAATGCAAGCTTTGTGCTTGACACCTGCCGGATTCTGCACTCTGGAACTGTTTCTATGACAAGTTTTACCCTGGGCCTCTCCCTGATACACTGTAAGTGTGTGATAAACATCTGCAGTGATTCTCTGAGTCCCTCTAGTGAACTGTCACACCTGCATGGGTTTCAGCAAATTCTCACATTTTTCAATGATGTCAAAAATAAGGCTGGTCTGGGAGACTGTGCCATTGGGCTTTGCAGTTTGGTTCACTCTGAGTAATAGGTTATAAAAAGTAAATCCTCTGAGGCAAAAGAGATCAAAAAGCTCAGTTGGCCTCAAACCCACTCTATTCCAATGTCTGATGCCCTTTGCACTTAGAGCTGAAGGTCGATGGATCCAGCTGCAGCCTCAACTGATTGGGAAGGAGGAGACCCGGCAGTTCACCCTGGATGCATCCTCTCTACCTACCCTACAGCTCACATACACACCCGACCCCATCACTAGGACATTTCTGTTGATGTTGTGAGCCAAAATGACACCTTAGCCAGGGACCCTTCTCATGAGTTTGTGCAAAGGCCGTGTGCAGTGAATTGGGAGACCTTGAGACCCATCTCTGCATCTTTAGCCTGAGAACCCTGAAACTGAGCATCATAATAGAGGAAGTCCCGCTGTGCTGGGGACTCTCAGTGTCCTCAGACTTGCACACTACACAAAGCTGCCAACCATTCTACCTGAGGACTCTGTCACTCAGCCACTGCTTCCCGATGGTCAGGGCTACTCTGTGTGAATAGAAGAGGGTCCCCAATTAAGAGCAGAGAACTCCCCGGTGACCAGGAGTACTTGGAAGAGACAAGCACCCACCCCCACAGCCCTCTGAGCTATCTGGGATGGGTCCCAACAAAGGCAAGAAACAAGCCCTCGCCGACTGTGTCCTCTGCTGGGCCAGGATTCCCCATGCTTTGAGCCTTCAGCACCTGCCTTCTCTCACTCTGTCCAGCCCTGCAGCCCCAGGCTTCTTATTACTGCTCCATCCCAGACCCCGTCTGCTCATTCCCCAGCCCTGGCTCTGAGCCTGTCACAGGTTGCTGTGGGCCTCTGGGAAGCTGTCTTCCCCCTCTGACTCCCAGCTCACTACAGTCTCATTAGATTGAATCTCTGCTCCCACAGAACACATCACAATCCTGGTGTCCCAGGCATCAGCCTGCAGCCCTGTAGCTGACAGTCAGCCAGGGTCCACCCAGCTCTATCCTACTCCACGGTGGGCCCTCTGCATCCTGGCCCAGGACAGTTGTACACACCAGCCCTCCGAGCACTCAGGAGGCTGAAGCAGGAGGATGGCCAGTTTGATGACAGACTGGGCAACATAGGAGTTCAAGGGCAGCCTGGACTACAAAAATCACAAGTGGCTTTCTCAAAAATACCACAAAAATAAGTGTCCTGTTGTGTTGGTACAATTCCTCAGATGCAAAGGTAAATGGCCTCAGCCAGAATTCCACAAACACCCTGATGAGGTCTATATCTATATGACTTTCTCAACAAGTCCTCCCTGCCTCCCAACTGCAAGGAGCAGGCTCAGCCCTGCTCTCTCCCTCCTGCCCTCTCACAGTTTCCTTCCTACCTTCTCTTGAGCCCTGCTGTGTGCCAGCCACATGCTCAGCACTTTCACGCACTAGCCTACTTTTCTTACAAGGACACTTGAAGAATGAAGAAACTAAGGCAGAGCGTGGCGAAGGGACCAGCAGGGGCCTCGTAATGCACAGTCGGCAGCAGGGAGCTGCCCACGGTGGATGCCCTGTCCCTGAACCCTGAGGCCACTCACTGCCAGGGAATGACATGGAGATCATGGCTGTCAGGGACTGTGGAGAAGGGGCACCCTGAACACCCCAGAGGACCATCCTGGAGGAGGTGTGTCTGTCCCTGAGAGCCCCAGTCCAGTGGGGATCTGGGCAGCAGTGCTGGGGAGCCCCATAGAGGGGACCTGGTCAAATCGGTCATCTCCACCAGTATCTCCCAGGCAACGTCTTCAGTAGGCAGTTGCTGCAGATGCACACTGCTCAGTGTGTGCAGGATATGCTCAAGGACGACCTCTAAGAAGCTGTCAGTGTCTGGTGGAGGAGGAAGGAACAGGGTCAGTGACAGAGCAGGAGAGTGTAACCGGCTTTGAGCACAGGTGGTTCATATTCATCCTAGGAGCTGCTGTCACATCAGACACTTTAGATAGAGAAACTAGTGTTAAGGACCAAAATGTGGCCCCCAAATGCATATGTTAAACCCCAGCCCCGGTGGCCAAATGTGGAGATGGGGCTTTAAGGAGGTGTGGTAGGTGAGATCAAATGAGCTTCTAAAGATAGGGTCCCAATCTGTACGACTGGGGTCCTTATAAGAACAAATCTCTCTCTCTCTCTCTCTCTCTCTCTCTCTCTCTCTCTCTCTCTCTCTCTCTCTCTCTCTCCTTCAGGTTCTTCTCCTTCCTCTTCTTCTTCCTCTTCTCCTTCTTCTCTCTCCCTCACCCCATGCTCAGAGAAAGGCCATGTGCACACACAGTGAGAAGACTCCTTCTGCAAACC